GAAAATAAGTTCAAGGAAGGTGATCATTTTAAAACATGAGCTAGTTTTTTGTTTCATTTAATTACCAGGACTTTGACATTCACTTACCCCGGTATCTTCCACATCAGCACTGTACTCCATCGATGATGAGCCACTTGTTGACTTGAAAAATTTAGGCTTTGGCCGTCTCCTTGTGGCTCTCTGGTAAACAACCAAAATAGTTAATTATAGGTGGAACACACTTATTCCTTCTTTAAAATATGCCATAAAATCCAACTTTATTATTCAACTCGATTATTACAAATTTGCAGTTGTGTAAAAAGAGGAATTTAACACCGCAAGAAAACTAGATAAAACAACTTACTAACGGACGTTAATCTTTCGTCGAAGGATTCGTTTTACCTACTTTTTAACGGTGTTAAATTTATCTTTGTACACAACTGGGTGGCAAGGGTGGTCTAGTGGTTAAGCWACTGGCCTCTCRYYGCTGTGGTCCGGGTTCGATTCCTGGGCACGGACCATATGTGAGTTTGAGTTTGTTTGATATGTTGTTCTCTCCCTTGCCATGAGGGTTTTTCTCCGGGTCCTCCGGTTTTCCTCCCTCAGTAAAAATCAACATATGAGAAGTGTTGTGTGCTAAAATAATTAGTGTAGAGGTAGTGAGTGTGAGTGTGAGGGCCACAAGTTCATCAGTTCTTTACTGTCACGTGTTTACCCTCGTAAAATAAAGTCGATTTATTTATTTATTTATTTATTATTTATAACTGTTTCTTTAGAAACACCGATGCAGCTCACACTAGCTAGTTTACCGCTAGTTCCCAACATTACAAATCTGGATGTCCTGAATGAGTTATTGGTTTGTACCAACCTTGGATCTCTCTCTTTGTTTATCAGGCCACAATTGCGGCTGCTGTTGATATCGTTTTTTCATCTGTTTTTCCTCTTTCAATATATGGTCAGCAATATCAATCTATAAACCAAAATTGCACAGGAAAAAAATTCTTTAAAACAACAATTATATTACAATCACTTTTTTTAAGAAAAAGAAAAAAAAGTTCATTCTTGTTCACTTGGACATTATGAGTAGCAAAACAATCTAGGAATTATGAGAAAAATCTGATTTCGATTTCTGAGGTTTTAGTATACATGCATCAGTACTGTCGGAGAACAATGCGTCCGCCATCTTGAAAAGTGAGACCCGAATCACTATGTTTTGCCTTAGAACACATTTCTTAGTTGCCAAGTCAACTATAATCTATCATTATATCGTATAATAATGACTTGACATTAGCTGAGAAGTTTTTAAATCCTTTAGTAGTTATAATTTAGTGATTCGATTCCCACTTTTCAAGATGGCGGACGCATTGTTCTACGAAATTACTAATGCATGTATATATATAATTTTTGGGTTGCTTGGGTTTTTAGTACTTATTCTGATAAAAAAAAATCCCTTGTATCTTTTCCATGTAGAATTTGACAGTTACTGTAATATTGCCCATTACCTGTCTTTCTCTTTGTCTTTTCTCAAAAGCTCTGTCAACAAAGAAACATTCAAGTTAAATACAAAGCTTGAAAAATAATCTTATTTATAAAAGAT